GGAAGTGACAAAAAGCATAGAATGTTTAGGATGAGTAGCAAGTAGCATCTTTAGCAGATTTATTGGGGTGGGCAGGCAGGACTGGCAAAAGGGATGCAGACACACTAGTGGCCCAGTATGGGAGCCTCTTTGTCCCCATGGGCCTAACACATTCCTCCCTCACACAAAGACACCAGGACACGTGGACAGATAATTCAAGAGGGACAAGACATAGCAAGTGGCCCATGCTAGGAAACCTCTCCATCTCTCTGGACATGAGGACACCCCTGAGACAATGGTGGAGAAGCCCCCACAACCCTCCCGCACTGAGAGACATCTGTGGTCCTGGCCTGAGAAAATTCAGGCAGCCCAGCAGGGACCAGAAGCAGCCCCAGTGAGACCAGAAAACCATATACCAAAACCACACCACAGAGGCTGTGAAAATTAAAATGTGATTGGAACCCCTTGACCAGAGCATCTACTTACTAAGAGAAAAGATTTCAATAGGATCCAAAGTCCCTAACATCATCCCCAAATAAATGTTCAGGATACTATAAAAAATCACCCAGCATATCAAGAACCAAGAAAATCACACCTTGAATGAAAAAAACAATCCAATGACTCCAACACCAAGATGAATCAGAAGATGGAATTATCTGACAAGAAATTCAAAAAAGCTATCTTTTTTTCTCATCTTTTTAAAAAAAATACATTTTTATTGATTTCAGAGAGAAAGGGAGAGGGAGAGAGAGATAGAAACATCAATGGAGGGAGAGACTCATTGGTTGGCTGCCTCCTGAACACCCCACATGGGGGACCAAGCTTGCAACCTGGGCATGTGCCCTGACCAGAATATGAACCATGATCTCCTGGTTCATAGGTCAAAGCTCAACCACTGAGCCAAAGAAACTATCTTACAGATGTTTCATTAATCTAGCTATATAAAAGCCTAAGCAACTGGCTGACTGGCCAACTGGCCGGTAGCTATGATGTGCACTAACCACCAGGGGGCAGACGCTTAATGCAGGAGCTGCCAAGTGACAGCAACTTTGCAAAGTGCCTTCTTGCACTCTGGGACCCCCCAGGGGATGTTGGACTGCCAGTTTCAGCCTGATCCTCTTCAGGACAGGCCAAGGGACCTTACCGGTGCACAAATCTGTGCATCGGGTCTCTAGTTAATTATAAATTCTCTTGAGATAAATGCACAAATAGAAAATCTCAGGAAATACATATAAGTTATAAAAAATTTCCAAGTGGAAATTGTAAAACTGAAAAATAAAATAACAAATTATCTTGAAGAAATGAAACTTATGTTCACATAAACCTTGTACATGAATGCTTATAACTGCTTTATGTAATATTCCCAAACTGGAAACAACCCAAATGTTCTTCCAACTCTGATATATCCATATCATGGAATACTATGCAGCACTGAAAAGGAACGAGCTATTGATACATGTAAAAACTAGGATGAATCTTCAGGAAAATATGCTAAGTAAGAAAAGCCAACCCCCAAAGGTTATGTACTGCATGATTCCATTTATATAACATTTTTGAAATGATAACTTTTTACAAATAGAGAATTCAGCGGGTCCCGGGCTTAGGAAAGGTAGGCATGGCTGCAGAAGAGCAACGCCTAGGATCCTTGCAGTGATGACTGTTCTGTATCTTGACTGTGGTGGTGGAAATGCAAAACTTCTTGTGTGATAAAGTTGCATAGAACCACACAGACACAGACACAGAGAGAGAGACACACACAGAGACACACAGAGAGACACACACAGACACACACAGAGAGTCACACAGACACACAGAGAGAGACACACACACA